CAGCATCTTAAACACAAATAAATCCACACAATCACAGTGTAAATTTGTAAATATTTTTCACTTAAGGTCACACCCTGACCAATAATATCATAGCAATGGCCTATTCAGCTTAGGTGTTGGGCATGGCAAAAGGCTCCTTGAACAATTCAACTAATGATTGTAGCGTTTCACTTAATCATTTCAGCTAATCCAATATGTCAAAGCTAATAATTATGTATATGTTCAATTTGAGTTTATTGTTTTCCTTAGTTTTACATTCTAAATTGATGACCAAACCTGGCATACTGTTGTTTAGTTTTCTTAAAAACAAACTAGAATGTTGTCTTTAGGCCTACACAAGTGAACCTCACATTAAGCAAGTAAATCCCATGTTAGAAATCGATTTAGGTAGAGCAGGTCAAACTGGTCATAGAAAATGTTGTTCATGTTGTGTGGTTAAAAAAAATCAAAACAAAAAACGGCTGGGTTTTTATTGATTTGTCTTATGATACCATAATTTTGTCTCATGCTTATTGATACATCCTATTTGGGTCAGTGTGTGTGTGTGTGTGTGTTGTGTGTGTGTGTGTGTGTGCACTAATCTTCTGAATTATTAAGATTCAGACAGGATAAAAGTCTAATTATGTTAACCATTCCTCGCCGTCAGTCCCCTGACCGTGGTCGGGAGACACGAGGGGAGATGCTTCCTCCAGGGCCGAAGTTTGTCCTCCTTCGGGGTTAACTCCCTTCACTTTTGTGGAGTAGTGAGGCAGACAGAAATCAGCCGAGGCACCGGAGAGTACTGAAGAGATGAGGCTTTAATAACAGTACTGCACACTTCGAAAACACACTGCATAGCCTGTAGCCCGTTAGAACGCTGCTCCCGGTCGCCCTCTCTACCCATGACACACTCTCTCTCTCTCTTTTCCCTCTTTCGCTCCCCGCGTTTCCTTCACGCGCATGCTCACACACACATCACATAGACTCCTTACTGCACCCAGTCACACACAAGACAGCAATTCCTGCAACACTATAATCAACTAACCTATTTTTTAAATGTGCTTTACAAGGACACAGAAGAATTTGAGGCCAACCTAGAAAGGCAGGTGATGAAAATTGCCATCATCGGTGACCGGTATACCCCTGGATCTGACCACAAGACTGCAACCATTGTGGTAGAAGGAACAAAAATCCTGGAGGGCCCGGATATCCCAAGTTGCTGTGCGTTACTCATGGGCATAATATATGCTCTCAATCTGAGCTATTGCAAGGAACTGAAATATACTTTCGAAGTCTTTCAGAAGCTGTTGCTTGATCTTGATGGACTGAGAGCCAGTGCAAAAGTAACAAGTCTCAAGAACAGTATGTTCTAAAGATGTCACTTGTTTTGAGCACTAAGAAATTTTATTCAGATTGTGTTGCTTTGTATTTGGAAGTCCACTGGGAAAAAATGATAGTGTTGATAAAAAATAGAAGACACTAATTTTTTTCTATCTAGTTATTTTTGATATTATATTCAAGAAATGTGTCTTGACAGTTGTTGTACTACCCTGTCCTTAACACTTATCCTGCATTTAATCCTCAAAGAGATGTGCTGATGAATGAACCAGCATTATGTTAAACATGTTGACTCTGTTTCAAAAATTGTTAACCATTTTGAGTCCTGTATGTGTAAAATTAATCTTAAATGTGTTTACTGCATGAAAGTTTGAACACTGAAAGTTAACATTTACTGAACACTTAGTACAAATGTTTTCTAAGTGGATTTCTGGTTTATTTTCACTGTTTAAATATAAGGTGTTGAATTGCCTAAAGTAAAATATAAATTGTACAAACTGTACAAACAATAAAAAAAGTTAATTGCTTAAAAATGTTGAATTCATTCAATTCTTAAAAGCTAGTACAATAATAAAAACAAGAAAAAGCTAAAATTATGATGATAATGAAGAAAATCAGCTACTTAATATTTTAAATGATTAACTTAAAAAAATGTTTTCGTAACTACTATCATTAATTACATAACACTTAAAAAATCAGTTTTGAATAATATGGAAAAAGAAGTTGGAGGAACATAAATTTTTTGAGTAAACAACTTAAAAACATGTTTTTAAGTTACCAATTATTAAGTATATGGTAATTAAAATTACCTTTACTTATAGAGGAAAAGTTCATTCCTCTAACTCAATGTAGTTTGTTGGTTCAACTAATTTCTACACAAGTTATCTTAACGCAAAAAGATTAATGGAAACTGTTGCGTTAATTTTTTTTGTTGAGCTTAAACAATAGTTTTTAGAGTGTACCCATTCACACACTGGTGATGGCAAGCTACATTGTAGCCACAGCCACCCTGGGGCGCACTGACAGAGGCGAGGCTGCCAAGTGCCAAACACTGGCGCCACCGGGCCCTCTGACCACTACCAGTAGGCAACGGGTGAAGTGTCTTGCCCAAGAACACAACGAACGAAACTGTCCAAGGCTCAAACCGGCAACCTTCCGATTACAAGGCGAACTTCCAACTCTTGAGCCACGATCGCCCCATCTACTCAGATGTAGACAAAAAAGGATCTTTAATAGATTCTTGTTTGGCATAGGAGAAACAAAAACCAAAGGAAGGTAAGTGATGACAAAGAAAACCACTCTTCTGGTCCATGTGGGGCTTCTATTGAGGTTCTGAAACTGCAGAAATGTGACACGGTACAGGAAGGCCACCACTTTGTTTGCTGCATTGTATTTACAATATTCTTTGGTGGTGACGGTGGGAGGGAGATGCATGTTTAATGAACCACAAGGTCTTTCAATGAGGCATTGAGGAGTCATCTGCTCCCACTGATCACACATATCATAAAGATGTAACATCAAATGGAGTTATTGCGTGTAACATAACTGAATGCTTTTCATCTTTCATCAGTTCAAATAAATCCATACATTTTTCTTATTACTTTTTTTTTAAATGCTTGTGTTTCGACTCATTTCTTGTCAAAGTTGGCAGACTTTATTTTTAAGGAAGAGGTGGTCTCATTTAATGAGCGTGCATCAATGAACTCTGAATGGCCCACTGATTCCAGAAAGAAACTTACTGGCCTAAAATGCTCTTCAGTTGTCAAATGCAAGTCTGCTTTAGAAAACAACATAATTATCTGTGATCAACAGATCTGTCTGAATAGTCTCAGGTGTGTGGCCAACATGAGAGAGAGGTAAGGGAAATAGGGAATGCTCACAGTTGATGTGTTAATTATAGAAGAGTCATGTAACTTATGCTTCAGTTTCTACTAGACACACTCTGTGGGAGATGGTTTCTCTGTATCTGTGTCAGTGAACTGTGTTTTTTCCTCCCTTTCACTGTGTGTGTGCTACAGTCATACAGGAACCAAGACTGGGGCGAATAAATGTACAGAGCTGACTGGAACCAAGAACCATCGAATAAATTCATTAAAAGATCCAACGGGTGGATTCACTGTCTGTGATGGACAGGCTTCAGACAACACTGATGTAAATACTGCAAACTTTACTAGGACCCCACCCGGCCTGTAGCAAAGAAAGGAATGTCCAATACTATTTCTATTTGTACCTTTCAAAGTAAAAGACGAGGAATGTTAACAGTAAAGTTAATTTACATTAAAGTCAGTAGCAAGCAGTACTCTCTTTAATCTTGATAAAAGTATATTTCACATACTTAAGTTCAAGTTGGAGGGTGTAGAAGAGACAAAATACAGATTGGTCCAGATCACAGTGGAAGAGGTCGTCAGGATGGGACAAGTTTTGTAATTATGTCCTAAACTGTCCCTAAGCTTTTTTTTTAAGAAAAGCTTTCTTCATAGCCACACTCCAACCTTTATGTATAAAATTATGTCCACTGATACACACACACACACAGCTGAATTCCACTGATACACTGTGGGTGTAAGTTAAACTGAATCGTACCAGAAATCATGGTAACCAGCGTGACAGAGGAGGACACTGAGCAGATGGGCCTATGCAGACTTTGGGAAGTACTTTGAGCTTGCACAGGTAGTTTTAACACATGAGCCTACTTGAAAATTGCAAAACAAATGCAGATGTGTTGAAGATAGTCAACTGCCAACAGTTTCCAAATTTGCCATGGGCTATTACTTTACCTTGAAGGTAATATTGACTTATATTCATTTTTTGTCTCATAATCTCTTCACTGAGCTGGGAGGTCCTTCTCGTGGCTCGCCCATTGCCTGTGGTTTGAGAGTTTGGTAGTGCTGTGCAATACAATACATTTTGGTATTGATCTGAAACCAAGTAAATACAGGGCCACTATTGCCAATACCAATACTAATAGGGATACTTTTAACTTAGAAAGGAGTTTGATTCAGTGTTTCGTGATGAATCGGCATGACTTTGCAAATTCTTTTGCAAACACATTTTAGTGATGATGAAATCATTTTTACTTTTCAGAGCACATCTGTCAGCTTTATCATATTTTTGAAGCTTGCAATAAGGTCCAAAAGAAGGTTATTTTGGAGATCTGGAGTATGTCTATAATATATGTTCCTGTCGTTAAAACGAAAGCTGGACACCGTACAATCATTCTGGGCTCCACCACAGGGAAATCTACAGCTGTGCACTCTCCTTTCTAAACGAGCCTCACTTGTAGAACAAGCACAACAACATATAGTAACATGATATGACACTGTTATCTGCGACTTCTTCCTGAATATCATTGTGACAGGCCCTGGCTGGTTTATGTAAAAGGCAGACATTTGCTTAAACACTTGTGAAGATATCACACAAAAAGCAGCTTCCAGACTAAAAGAAGAACCCCCCCCCCCATGAAACCTCATATTCTTGACGATTTAAGCTGTAATGTTTTTGTGCATCTCCAGCAAATCCCAGAATGCTGCACTATTTTTTTAATAAGCATGTTTTATCGAGCTACTCGACTCTATCAACTCTATGATTTCTCTGCGCAAAGTTCTGAGACTGGATCAGCAGCTGGTTTCTTTCCTGTCCTCCTCTCCGCGCGCTTATCGCGGTGGGTGGAGCCAAGCACGTCCCAATTTATTCATCAGGTTGTAAAATTTTAGAGAAGTAGTCGGTCAGATGAAGTGGTGACACAGAGAAACAACAGCCATGGCGAGGTCTAAGGCGAGAGTGTACACTTGTTGCGCACTGATACTACTCTGCTTGGTTGCTATAATTGTGTGTATTGCTGTACTTGCGAGACGCAAATGCCCAACTGGCACTTTCTCGAAAGCTGCAGTGGCCGCAGACTCAGGGAGATGTTCAGAGATCGGACGGTGAGTGACATTTGAAACTTTTCAACCAAACTGCTCTCTTTACTATGTTCCAACTAAGGCAAAATATGCTGGTTTTCTTAACCAAAGTTTGGCAAACACTAAAACATTTTGGGGATCTTAACCCGGATAATCATCATCACGGAAGTGGAGGATTATGGTGTTTCTCTATTTACGAGGCAGCTCCTCACCCAAGTAATGAGTTCATGAGTTCAATGAGCACGCTTCAGTATGCGATTACATAACCATGTAACATTTCATAAGAGAGGAAATTGGATGTGATTTGCAAAACAGCGGTCTATGCAAAACATAAACATTTCCCTACTTTTAAGGCGCACTCGACAACGAAAATAGGAACGCAAAGTGATGAAGGACATTCTTCTGTTCATTTAGGGACATTCTTCAGAAAGGCGGCTCGCCAGTAGATGGCGCCATTGCTGCGCTGCTGTGCACCTCAATCATGAATCCACAGAGTGCTGGTATCGGAGGGGGGTCCATATTCACAATTATGGACGTCTCTGGTAACAAGACACCCTCACTCCCCTTATTCTAATGCAGCGCTTCAGGAAGAATCAAGTTATAATGTCTCATCTTTTCAAAGGTAAAGTGAAAATCATCAATTCCAGAGAGACCGCCCCTGCAAACTTGAACCCTGACCTGCTTAAGTCATGTAACAGCACTATTCAAGTAAAAAAAGGTAGGCTGCTTTTCTTTTATAAGACTTCTGCATCAGTTTTTTATTCCCCTGCGTCTTTTGTAGGCTGTCTTTCTTGTTTTAATCTTTCCATGTGTCATGCCTAATTACCGGCTTGAGAAGCTCCACATTGAGTAATGAATTTACAAGCTCAGGGCTCAAAGTTTAAAGACTTCTGTTTGGTGGTCTGTCATGACATAAGCAGCAGATCCTGTCAGACCATTCTGCAGATATATTTTCTTTGACAGGGATGACTTCAAGTAGCTGCGGTTACATACCCAAGGCACTGCAAGATCACACGTGCTGGAACAGCAAAGTGATTAATCTTCTATTCAGTTTAGTGTTAATGTAGGCGGACATAAATGGAAAGTAAAGTATGTAAATTATATTGTGTAAACATTATTAAACCAGGAAAACTGTAGACATGTAAAAACAAATAGTCAAATAGAAACATGGGGTGGCTGTAGCTCAGGTAGTAGAGCGGGTCACCTACTAACCGGAAGGTTGTTTCGATCCCAGTCTGCTCCAGTCTGCATGCCAAATATCCTTGGGCAAGATGCTAACCCCAGGTTGCTCTCTGATGCATCCATCGAGAAGCTCGACGGATGCATGTTAGTTAGATAGAACTAAAAACCTAGCAAAGTGATTGGGTGAATGAACAAGTTGTATAAAACGCTTTGAGTGCTCAGATAGAGTAGAGAAGCGCTACATATGGACGATAAAGGAGTTACAGTAAACTCAAAACATGAGTAAATGTATGTGTTACTGTGATCAGATAGCAGATGGATTGGGGTTCCTGGGGAAATTCGAGGTTATGCAGAGGCACACCAGCTTTATGGGAAGTTGCTGTGGGCCGACCTCTTTCAGCCGACCATCAAACTGGCCAGGGAAGGATTCCCTCTTCCTTACGTCCAAAGTCTATACCTCCCAACCATCAATACAAGCAGCACCCAGTCACTGCGGTATGAAATATGTCGACAATGTGAGTTCAAAAATATGAGGAGCAAGCAATTAATGTTTTATCTCCCTGTCTTTGTCTTTTAGGAAACTATATTCAGACGAGAACGGAAACCTTCTTAAAGCCGGTGATACTGTGAAATTTGAGAAACTGGCTGACACTTTGGAGATGATCGCAAATGAGGGACCAGATGTGTTTTACAGCGGAACAATAGCGAAGGATTTAATCAGTGACATACAGAAAGAAGGTATTGTCAGACAGGTTTTATCCTGCTCTCTTTTCTGACCATTTTCTATGTCTGCCAGGCACAATGATCTAATTACAAACGAACAAATCAATTGGCTCTGTGAATCTCTGCCATGATCCCTCATAGGCTACACTGTGGGCTGTCTGGATCCATTAAAAGTTTTGATTATGAGATGCACTGTGTTCAGTTGTGCTTAGCAGAACCATTTGTTTCAATGTTTTTGCTCAGGAGGGACACTCACACTGCAGGACTTGGCCTCATATAAAGTTACAGTGACTGATGCGTGGGCTGTTCCTTTGGGAGAGTACCAGATGTACTTCCCTCCGCCCCCTGCCGGAGGAATCATCCTCAGCTTCATCCTCAACATCATGAAAGGTTCCTGTTAGACACTGACTGCAGAGATTCTGATCATCTATACTTCGAAATCACTAAGTGATGCTTTTGGATCATTTTATTTTTTGAGCTGAGCTGTTCAAATTATTGCATTTATTGGTTGTTGCATATGGTGTTTTTTGCATGGAAGAAACAGGTCCTATCAAATCTTTACAAGTGTGATACAGTGAGAATATATATTTTAAATAAAAGAAATAACAATTGTTTATATTTTCAGGATATAAAATGAACTCAGAACTTAAGACGACTGATGAAAAAATATTATATTATCATCGTTATATTGAAGCTTTCAAATTTTCCAATGGATTAAAGAAACATATCCGAGATCCAAAGTTCCACTCAAATAAAGTAAGTATCTGAAAATACCACCAAGAAGATTCAGGCATTAGGTTTCTCCAACAAGTACAAAGTCATGTTTTACCAAAACTAATTTCACTCAGTAACAGGCAAATCAGTTTATAACTTTTATGTAATGTGTGTTTTGTTTTTTTTCTGGATGTTTGGTTGATATTCTGTCTCCGTTAAAACAAAAGTACCATAAATCAGAGACATTTCTTTGTAAACTTACAAATTAATCAGGGGATCATGTAATTATTTCCCCTTCACTGTAGAGTAATGTGAAAAAGAACTTGCAGGACCTTTGCTGTACAGTCTTGTAGAAAACTAAGTACATTCCATGATTCAGTGGTGTGTTGAACCACTTTTAGCAACACTATCTTAAAACAATCATTTTCTATACGGCTTTATCAGTCTCTCACATTACTGTGGAGGAATCTGGCCCTCTCTAGGGTCTGGATCATGACTGAACATTTGCAAAACTGAACGTTTGCAAATAAATGTCTGCCTTTTACATGCTTCACAAGGTACCAAAGCCCAAACCGTCCCTCCTCCACTACTGTGCTTGACAGTTCGTTATGAGGTGTTTGTGATGATATGCTGTGTTTGGTTTTGGTCAGTTCTGGTGTTGGTGATGTTCCATGAACCCAAAGTCAGTTTCAGTAACTGAGGAACACACCAACAAAGCCTCTGCCTCTGCCTGTCGTCCAATCCATGCTGAACCAAACGCCTACATACAGCCTCACCTCTGGAAGCAGAAAATGTAGCGGTCTGTTGTGGTGAAGAGAGATCTGAGTGTGAAAGCGAAACTGTCTATTTACTGCTCAGTCTATAGATTCCTACTCTCACCTATGATCACAAGCTCTGGGTAGTGAGAAAGGAAGAGATACAGGCAGTGAAAATGAGCTTCCTCTGAAGGGTGATTGTGCTTAGCCTCTGAGTTAGGATGAGGAGCTCAGGAGGGGCTCAGAGTACAGCCACTACTCCTCAAGTTGAGGTGGTTTGGAGAAGAGGCCTTCTTCTGTCAACCCTTCTAAACAAGCCATTAGTGTTAGTCTTTCCTCGCTGTACTGTGAGTTTAGAGGTTTTCTCTAGTTTATATCAATTTCTTTGAGCAATGCACACTTTGACTTTAGGGTAAATTTACAGCAATTTCCAGTCGTGGGAAGATTGTAGCATTGTGTTAAAGCAATGGAACACTCTAGACTAGCAAACGTCTTCTTTTATACATGTATGTGTGCTCACTCTTACATCTGATCAAGTGCATTTGATTAACAGCATCAGGCTGCTACTTACCCTCTTAATTCTTATGGAAGCAGTAAGGGTGTACTTAGTTTTTCACATTACTGCATAGAGTGCTTTCTCCCGTAAATCTGCATTTTCATTTCAACATGATAATTCTGACAGGCGGTGTAATGTTTGAAATAAATAAGTAACAAATAAGAGTTTTAAAAGCAGATGAACTCAAATCCCTTTTAGATTTGGCTCTAATTTGTTGTTTGTCTTGATATTCCTGTATTTTCTCTAATGCGTTTGTTTTTTGCCATCTGTACTTCTAACAGATGGCAAAGAATTTCACAGAGGGTAGCTTTGCAGACAACATACGGATCTTGATCAGCAGCGACAAGACTCACGATCTCCAGTATTACGGCATCACTCCGTATCTGGAGAGCATGGGTACCACACATGTGTCTGTGCTGACTGAAGATGGATCCGCTGTGTCTGTCACCAGCAGCATCAACCACATGTCAGTGTCTGGATGAATCTGTTTCACTGTTATGCTGGACTTATGCTGGGCTTACACTGTGCGATTTTTGGCCCATTTTGAGCCGATTTTTGAGTCGTGCGACCGTTTTGGCGATCGGCCCGATTTTGGCCTTCATCCTGCGTCGTGCATCGTATAGTATACGTGGGGTAATGAGACGCGATTAACACCTCACGACCAGCTCCAGATCATCAATCGCTTGGTCGCGAGGGTGTCACTGCAGTTT